TGTGCAGGGTGTGGTAGATCATGCCTATAATCTCAGCACTTTGGGAGGCCGAGGCGGGTGGATCCCTTGAGCCTAAGAGTTCAAGACTAGCCCGGGCAACGTGACGAAAACCCATCTCTACAAAAAATACAAAAATTAGCCAGGCATGTTCACATACATTTGTAGTCCCAGCTACTCAGGAGACAGACTGAGGTAGGAGGTCAAGGCTGCAGTGAGGCCGGGCACAGTGGCTCACACTTGTAATCTCAGCACTTTGGGAAGCTGAGGTGGGCAGATCACTTGAGGCCAGGAGTTCGAGACCAGCCTGAGTCCCTCTACTAAAAATACAAAAATTAGCCAGGCGTGGTGGTGCATGCCTGTAATTCCAGCTACACGGGAGGCTGAGACAGGAAAATCACTTGAGCCCGGGGGACAGAGGTTACAGTGAGCTGAGATCATGCCACTGCACTGGGTAACACAGGGAGACTCTGTCTCTAAATAAATAAATAATTATTTTTCTTAAATTGCTGCTGTGAGCCACGGTTGTACCACTGCACTCCAGCCTGGGCGACCAAGGAGATCCTGTCTCAAAAAAAAAAAAAAAAAAAAAGAGTACTTGTTTTACAGGGTTTTTGTGAGCATTAACTGGAATGATCTTGATGCCATTGACTGGCACTTAGCAAGGTCCCTGACACAGAGGAAGCACTCAGAAACCATTACTTAGTGTTCCCACTGCATCCTATGGTCAGTGTGTCCCATGTTGTGACTCAGTGGGATAGTGTCCGTCACCTAAGACCAGTTCCCCAGCTCTGAGGATGCGGGGAGGGGGTCAGGATGCCTCTAACTCCCCACCACTCACACCTCCCACTGCCCTTCTGGTTTTGCAGCTGAGCTGTTCATGGAGCAGCAGCACCTCAAGGAAGCAGGTTTCTGCATCCAGGAGGCGGCGGGCCTCTTCCCCACTTCTCACTCAGTACTCTACATGCGGGGCCGGCTGGCTGAGGTGAAGGGCAGCTTGGAGGAGGCCAAGCAGCTGTACAAGGAGGCGCTCACGGTGAACCCAGATGGCGTGTGCATCATGCACAGCCTGGTGAGTCAGACCCCCCCATTACCGCCACCTCCTCCCACTGCCTCAGGGCCCTTATCCCGCTTTGTCTCTCCTTGTCCTCATACTCCACTGCCTGCCTGTGCCTTGTTACTGCTGCTCCCTGGAGTCTGGGAGACTTCCCTCCTGCTCTGTTAGAAGAGACCGTGCTTGGGATACCTTAGCCTTCTCTTGTAGACACAGGCCATTTCCTGCTTCAATCAGGGTCTGTGTTGATTACAAAATCTAGAAGGTTTGGTTGATACTCTTTGTGACTTCCTTTTGCTGTAAGTTTCTACAAAGCGATCTAGCCCCAGAATGCTCTCATTGTTACCCATGAGACCCTTACCCTGGAGATTAATGCAGACTCTAGGCAATTACCAAAGTGCTCTTCTTTCTGGGAGTCCCAGACCCTCCCTGCCTCCTCCACTTCCGAGGAGCTGCACATCTCTTTGCTGGGATTCAGGGGGGTTTCTGGGGTGGGCTGCCATGTCAGGCCGGACTCAAGCACATATTGAGAATGATCCCTGGGGTACTAAAAGGATCTAGTAACCCCTAGTCCTCATTCATGGGCTCAGGACTTGGGTGCCCTAGGCACAGTGGCCTCCCTGTGGCAAGCTCAGAGGCTGGGGAGCAGGATGCTGATGCTCTTGTTCTGGCCTTACCTCTACCTGGTGATCATGGGCAGGTCAGCCACCTTCTCGGAACCTTGGTTTTAATTATCTGTCCAGTGGGTATCGTCTGGTCCAGGAAACATTTATTGAGCACCAGCTCTGTGATAGAGACCCTATAGATTATCATTTTTCCCCTGCTTTCCTTTGCTGCTTCCAGAGAACAGGTAGCCTGATAAAGGTAGTGATCTGGAAGCATGCAAGCCTGCATCTGCACAGGTGATTTTTGAAGGACAATCTAGGATCCCATAGTTAGCAATAGTCTTTCCCTGTTAGGGTCTGGGTTCCACCTTGAATGTTCCCCTGTGAGAGTGCGTTGAGAACAGCCATTAGGGTATCCGTGACATCTGCCATGTAGAGAGCACAGAGGGATCAGGAGAATCGCTCCAGATGGCTGGAGGGTTGGCATTGCCAAAAGGGGGCTGATTTGTCCATGAGTAGAAGCTACAGGGAGTTAGATTTCAGCCGTGTCAGGGAAAACATTATAACTCTTAGCATAGTCTAGGCACATACTCAGTAATCATCTCTGAGAGTGTCGCCAAGAGAATGCAAATCACATGCCGAGGAGCCAGAACAGGTCATCTTCATAAGGTCCTTTCCAACCTGAGAATCCTTGAAAAGGAAATAGAATAGAAATTCCTAGCTCAGCTATTATTCCCACTGCCTGATTTCTATAAAGATTTCTAACATAGGTTTGTGTGAATGTTCAGCCTCAGATGAAGAAAGCCCATGCAGCCACCATACACCCTTGTTCATGTTCCCTCCCAAGTGGCTCCGCATCGCCTTCCAGTCAGCTTAGCAAATGTTTGCTTTTCTGCAAGAGGCTTCTTCCTTCCTCCCTCAATTTTAGACGTTAGCTTCCCTGATAAATGCCTCGCCAGAGGTCACATCCAGAAATTTGATTAGGGCGGTGGGAGGGAGGGTCTGGGCTCTATCATTAGGCCTGCAGTCAGGCAGAGATGTCTGCCTTCCACTGTGTTGATGGATATTAACCGGCAAGCTCAGCCCTGAAAACCCAACAAAATCCAATAACAAGTACAATTTTGAAGTAACAGTGTACCATTTTTCATTTATGCTTATTATTGTTTGTAGCTATTTTCCTGAAATTGAAGCTGTTTCCAACAGTGGGTTTCCATGGTAACTGAATAGCTATCCAGAGTGGCTCCCTGCAGATGTTTCTGAAATGGTACCTTTTTTCTTCCTGAGGTTCCCTGCTGATTTGATGGAATTGGAGCAAGTCAGAGCCAGCCCTGCCCTCTTTTAAAGTTACAAGCAACCAGAGGGGCGGTCGGCTTCTGCGTGGGCAGCCCATCCCCTGTCTACAGGCTCTGTTCCTGCCAGCATCCCACTCATATGCATAAAGAACAGCAAATGTGAAACCTGGGGAAGATTTACTAAGCACTCTTTTTCTAAAGACATTTGAATGCTTTGGTGTGTCAATCTCAAGTGTTCCCAGATTTAAGTGTCTTCCCTGTGCTGGTCTGAGACTCAGGACATCTGGGGTCTAATCCTGGCTCTGGCCCTGATCCACTTGGGGGACTTAGGAAAAGACACTTAACTTGCATGTTCCTGGTGTCCCCTTCTACAGATAATAATCCTCGTTCCTGGGCCATAGTGTTGTTCTAATCAAATGAGGTGATGCATGTGAAAGTGTGAAAGGTACATGTGAAAGTGCCTGCAGTGCAGTCCCAGAGATTGCAAAGCACAGCGCAGAGTATGCCACCCCACTTCAGTCCCTCACCAGTATCAGACATTGCTAATCAATCACAGCCCCTTTTTCCCACTGAGCAGAGATGTGATCTTGGAATCTTTTTCAACATGATACAATGATAGGAACTACTAGCTGTCATTCTAAGTCAGTTTCACATTTATGTAAGGAATTCATTGTAAAAATAGTAGAGGAAAGAGACACATCAGTCATCTGAGCCTTTGTGAGCTCTGGAGGTTGGTACAGCCTTGGAGAATTACCAAGAGAGGAATGTGGAAGGGAGGTGATACCTGCTGTGATACCTCCCAGGGCAGGCTCCCAGGGAGGACACTCTGGCCTTACCATGCCACTGTGACTTTATGAGGATATTGGCCTCTGATCAGTACAAGGGAAAGGAGAGTGTCCCCTCTCCTGAGGGCACAGCCACCCACAAAGCTGGGCTGGAAGAGTTTAGGGTCTCCAGGTCTGGAAAGACTCCCTGAGGTCTGGAAAGAGGAGGGCGGAGATATTCTTAGTGTGCTGCGTGGGTGCTGGGTTTGGCTTCACAGTCCTTAGGGTGGGATTGGCAAGTGCCAAGAGGGTGAAGAAAGCCCACTGGGAGTTAAAGACTTTACTCTTAGAGGCCAGGGGCCCCATGTTTCTAAGAATATAAACTTTCACAAAGAGCAGGTTCTCTACCCTCCGTGTCTGGCTATCCCTGCCCTAGATGCGATAAGAGATGTTTCTGTGGTACTAGCCCTGCTCTGGGTTTAGCTTAGAGTTTTCTACCCAGACTAGGCAGGAAGGAGATGCCACCTTGGCAATTCTCTGCTGGGCAAGAGAACCAGCAGAGTTTATCCCAAGTTTGTCCATCAAGCTCTGGTCCTGCTGGCTGCCGTCTGCGCTGGGCTCAAGGATGGCCAGGGGCCTTCGGGAAACTGGCAAGTGTAGAAAGAAAAAGAAATGTGCTCTCTGCAGTGGAAATCAAATCACAGGAGCAGGTCCTGACAGTCTGCCAGCACGGTCCCAGACTTCTCTCCAAGTAGCTGGAAATCCCACTCGACTAGGGTATTCAGAACCGAATTCACTGGCAGAAAAGTCTAGCCAAGAAGGGGAAGGGTGAACTTTGCCTGCCTGCCCCTGGGGAAACGTGAGAAGGAAGGCAGAGGCCCTCCCAAGATGCGCAGGTGTGGCCGGTTGACACTGCCCTTCAGAGAGGGCTTCAAGGCTTGGCCAGGAAGGGACCACAGGCAGCCTGCACTCTGATTGGAGCTTATCTCTGTCCTGCCATCTCCCTGGATCCCCTCTGCATCAGGAACGTCCAAGGACAGTAGGGGCACCTGAGGACATCAGGGAGCCCCACTAGTAACTGGTGGACTGGTCGGGTCATTGAGAGCCCTTCCAGGAGGGGGTTCCTTTGAGGTCACCTGACCTTCATGATGGGAGGGTCATTGGTTGGTCATGAGGCTGAGATTAGAGCTCCTCATGGAATGATTGGCTTGACTTGCTTTCTCAGTGTAGGGAAGGAAAAAACAATTTTCCCTCTACCTTAGCTGGGACCCTAGTAACAGAAGACAGATTAACAAGGAAAAACAAACAGAACTTTATTAACATGTATAAAATGTGCTCATGGGAGATACTCAGGGAAAATGAGAAAAGTTTAAAGAGGTGGCTTAGAAGTCTGGCTTACATAGCATCTTCAACCAAGAGCATACAATTTAAAAGAAGCAATGAGACAAAGAAAAAGGACCTGGAGTCTCTGAGGATGGCAAATTGTGGGAAGATAAATCCATGGGAAACTAATGGTAGATAAAGGCTAGTTAGCAAAGCTTGTTATATAGATTCCTCTGTGTCATCTCCAGGCTGATAGGGGGCTAAGATTGTGTTCTGTAATCAACCTTTGTCCTTCCTGGTTGAGAAGGGAGGAGGGACACCCTTGTAAATTTATATCCTGCTTTTAGGCAAATAGTGGGAGGGCAGAGAGCTTTTCTTGTCTCTGTTGCCTTTAGCTCAAAATGATCCTTATGCCCAGGTGGCATATTTTTGGGTGGCATGTTCTGCTACCCTTCAGCACCCCCTGAAGAAGGTTCTAGCCCTGGCCACAGAGCCACCCACTCTCCCTGCCCTCAGCTTGGCTAAGGAGAGTGTGGATGCTTCAGTGCAGCTTGTCTGCACTGCAAGAGACAACTTGACACTCTCAGGCATGAGTGGGCAGGCGAGGTGTCTGCGGGTGGCACTCTGCCCTCTTCTCCCAGGGGCAGACTGGAGGGGAGGAATTTCCTGGTCACTCCCCTGCCCCAGACCCTCCTCTCCTCATGTTTTCTTCTTGGTGAGGGAGTTCCAGGCTCTCCAGAACCCCTCCCCATCAGGCACCCCTGCAGCAGAGGGGAGATGGCTCTGCATGAGCTTTGGCTTTAGTGATATAATTGCTGGGATGCAGTTTCTGAAGCATTATGGCATGTGATGCCCAGCACCTTCTCTCTCCAAATGCCCCTGGAAAGACAGGAAGACGGCATTGTTAGCTGCAGTCCTCTTGATGACAGAGTGACAATGCATGATTTCCCTTTATTGGTTCCCTCTTGTGCCAGTATGGAGCAGGCTGCCTCATTCTTTAAGTGGGTTTGGGGAATCAAGAGCATGGGTATGGCCTCAGAGCCCCTCATCCCTCACCCCAGGCTGTGGCTTGAGGGGGCACATCTTAAGTCCCCAGAAGCTCCCTGCCACCACCCCTGGTACCTCCCAAGGAGGGACCTGAGTCACTGAGGGCCAGAGCTCTGCCCATCCAAGCCCTGAGGCTCTGGGCTGGGCCTGTTTAGGTGCTCTGGGACTTCAACAAGAAGGCTTTGGTCTCTAAGGCCAAAAGGGTGAACTCTGACCACACAGTGCTGCATCCATCACCCCCTCCTGCTGCTGGCTGCTCCTCTTCTCCATCGTGGAGGGCTGGACCAGACACGAGGGGTGACAAACCTAAGACAAGCAGCCCTGCGTTACGGTGGCACTCGAGGGTCACTTTCCTCACTGGGCATCTTGGTCCATTTTGTGTTGCTATAACAGAATACCTTAGACTGGACAATTTATTATTCTTTTATTTTGTTTTTATTTTTTTGTAGAGACAAGGTCTCGCTGTGTTGCCCAAGTTGGTCTTGAGCTCTTGGGCTCAAGCAGTCCTCCCAACTCAGACTCCCAAAGTGCTGAGATTACAGGCATGAGCCACCATGTGTGGCCTTTTTTAAAAATATATTTTTATAGTAATTTACAATAAGCAGAAACTTATTTGGCTTATAGTTCTGGAGCTGAGAAGTCGAAGATTGAGGGCCACATCTGGCGAGGGCATTCTTGCTGCCTCATCCCATGGCAGAAGGTGGAAGGGCAAGACAGTGTGACAGAAGGGAAAGCAGAGCTCATCCTCTTATCAGGAACCCACTCCTGAGATAACAGCAACAAGCCATTCAGGAGGGCAAAGGCCCGCTGACCTCACCTCTTAAAGGTCTCACACTTCAGTCCTGCTGATTGAGGCTTAAGTTTCTAACACATGAATTTTGAGGGACACATTCAAACCATAGCATTGGGTCAGTTTTTTTTCCTGTCAAATTGGGATGATAATTTAGACTCTTGTGATAATTTAGACTCTTCAAGGGGTCATTTTAGGTCTCAGGTGAACTGAAAGCTGTGAAAAGATGAGTCACCGCTGGGCATTTTTACTGCTATTTTCACATAGAAGACTTGGTGGCATGTGGCCTGAGCCTGAGTCCCACCTCGGACCAGGCTGGCTTCTGTTGGGCCATACTTGCTGAGGGAAGAGGATCTTTGCCCTGGATTTCCTTGTGATGCCAGCAGGGTGCTGAGAAGACAGACAGGGAGTACCTGGCAGGGACGGGGACTTCCAAGCTGCCTTTGAGGTTTTCCTTGGGTTGGTTGGCTGAGTCCCACTTTGCCTTCACTCACTGACCAAGATCCGTAACCTCTCAGAACCTCAGTGTTCTCATCTGTAAAATAGGGCTTGCTCTACCAAGCACCAAGGGCTGTTGTTAGAATTACGTTAAATAATTCTGTAAGTTAATGGTCCAGTCATTGGGGTCATTTTCATGCTTTTCACTTTGAAGCATAGCTGCCAGGCCATGTTCAGATGCTCTTGGTTCTCGGGTGGGAATGGAAGCCTGGAGCCAAGCCCCAGAGACTCATTGCAGTAAAGCCACTCCATCCTCACCAAGTCCACAGGGAAATCTGGCCCCAGCACAGATGTACAGGACACAGACCCTAGCTGCCTTGTGGATGAGACAAGAGTACCCACAGTGCCAGGCCTGGGCTGACCTTAGCTAAGGGGGAGGGGAGCCTGCTTTGCAGGGGAGAATGAGTTGAGGGATGAGGGAGATACCTTGGGTAATCTGTGCCCATTGGGGTGGAGGCCCTGCGGTGGCAGGCTCTGAGGAGGCCCTGGCCTGTCGTCATACTGGTTCAACATCTAGTTCAGCATCTGTTTTCTGACTTGAAGGAGGAAGGACGTTCTGAGCAGCTGAGGAGCGACACTCAGTGCCTGGCATTTTGGAGGTGCCCCGACACTATGCAGAGCTCCGTGTACAGAACAGCAGGGTCCCGGGTTCCTGGACCAGTGGCCTCTGCTGATTATGCCCATGTCTCAGGGTCCAGGACGTACCACCAGCTCTAGGCTTCTCTCTCCACGTTCATTTCTTGAGCTGTGGCAGGTAGCTTAGAGGGGTCTAGGCCATGAGAGGACTTGGAATCTTGCTTCTGCTGGGCAGGAAAGTTCAATAGGAACATCTTGGCTGTGTGACCTGTGATGTGGTGGTTTTATTGTGAGCTCTCTCTTCACCCCTCTCCAGTACTGCCTGAGGTCACACTCCCTGATGGGAAAGTGGAGAAAGAAGTAGAGGGTTCTGCAGGCCCACGGTGTGGGGGGTGCAAGGGTATGTCCCGCAGCACCTGCTCGATGGGGATCAGAGGCCCCTCTACAACCACCTTATCCCTGGGCTGGCACAGCCCCCTGCATACACCCTGAGCCCTGGCTCAGGACTTTTGGAAAACCTTAGGCTGTTGTAGGCTCCTGAAGTCCGTCACCAGCTCTAATGAGGAAGCCTGCCATAGATTCAGATCACAATGATACTTGAGCCAGGCGTGGTGGTTCACGCCTATAATCCTAGCACTTTGGGAGACTGAGGCGGGCAGATCACCTGAGGTCACGAGTTCAAGACCAGCCTGACCGATATGATGAAACCCGTCTTTAAAAAAAAAAAAAAGAATGATACTTGAGCACTGCTGGCTTAATTAAGCTCCAGAATCATTTTTTTCAAAAAAGGAGTTAGAAAGACTCACCCTACATGGAGAGAAAAGGTGCAGACTTTTCCCCCTGTCCAGTAGACCCCCTCCCCAAACTGGCCTTCACTGTGCCTTAGGCTGTGCCTCCTGCCCAGAGAGGGGAGCTGCTGTGACTGGTCCCCCTTCTCACTCCCCAACACGGGGGCTCACTTCTAGAACCCGAGATCCAGAGGCCTAGCCACAGCCTCCTGACTGAGCCTGGAGGAGTGGGCCAGGTAGTGCGCCAGGGTGGGCAGAGGCCCCTGCAGACCTAGAACCTGATACCAGCCCAGGAAGGGGAGGAGAAAAGCCCCAGTCCCCTGCCCAGAGGAGATGGCTGGCAAAGAAGTCAGTTTCCTGGTGGCTTGTCAGGCTCCGAAGTCCCCCAGGATGTGACCCACCTGGCCGCTAGCCGCTGGCCCCTGTCCCTCTGAAAATGGACAACCCCTAGCCCCAGCTGAAGAGGCCTACTGGTGTTCTTTAACATCTCACTTGTAAAGGACCCCAGAAGAGAAAGGGACAGGCACCCACTGCCCCAGGAGACCCCCACCTAGGTTGGGCTCCATATGAATCTGGGCCCTTCTCAGTAGTTGCCTCTTCCTTTGAGGCCTAGGGGGATCTGGGGTGAACACATCCCACTCCAGCACTGGGTGGGGCTGGAAGGGTTTGGGCCCCTTCCCCCCAACAGGGAAGTGGGACCCAGCTGTGGCTTTGGAGCTGCCCTGGCTCCAGGAGGGCTGTGGTGATGGGAGTGGGAGGTTCTCAGCCTGGAGAGGCGCCTCCCCCTTCCCGTTCCAGGTCTGGTTGGACAGGTTAAGGCTGACACACCTGAGAGAATCTAGAGTTCCTGAGAGCATGGAGCTGGGCCGGAATGCGGGCCTTCCTGGATGGGTGTGTCCGTGTTCCAGGGTGATGAGAGGGAGGGGCCCTTCCTGTAGAGCAGGCTCCTCACAGCAGCCCTGGTGTCCCCAAACACAGGCTCCAGGGACCAGAAGGCTGCTGCAGCTTCCAGCTGATTCCCGGCTTCCCAGCTGGAAAGGCTGTTACAGAATCCCAGGAATGTGCCTTGAGCTCAGAAAGAAAATTCCCAAAATAACTTCTATAAATACTTGAGGGCAGGGGTGGGGACGGAGGGCTCCGCCTGGCCCACAGCTGGCCTTGCGCCCAAGCTGCTTCCCAGGGCAGGCCCCCCTCAAAAGAAGAAGAGGCATGCACACCCCTAGACCTTTGTGCTGCCCCACCCTTGGAGAGCATCGTCAGGCACTGAACTTACGAGGTGGGATGGTGTGCAGTGGGATTCTGAAAAGGCAAGACCCTTTTCCCCTCATGTCCTCCTAGGCCATAGCCCCTGGCCACACACTGTGCCTCTGCAGAGGACCTGGGTCCCACAGGGAGGCTCCCTGCTGAGTGTGAGCCCAGACCCCAGCAAGGCTCTAGGCCCCTTAGGTCCTACGCCTTCATGGCCTTAACAGGCAGGACTTTCCGGGCTCTGCGTGGGTAGCATCCCTGGCCAGAGCTTCATACCTGGAAGCGTGTGGGTGCCTCTGGGTTCCCTGGCTCTGCATCTGGGCTGCGTCCTGAGCTCTGTTGAGCTGTTGTCCCATGGGAAATAACAAAGCAGGCAGGAGACTGGGGCTCTGTCCCTTTCAGCCTGGGGAGGGCCAGGATAGGAATCACATCCATGAGCCCCACAGTAACTAAGCATGACCCTGAGGTGGTTGTGTGGCCAGGAGGGACTCCATCCTCAGGGAAGGCTTCCTGGGAGAGCAGGGTCTCGAGCACATGAGATGTGGCCACACATCCCCACTCCCTGAGATCCAGGAAGGGAGAGAAGAAGGAAGGTCCTGAGGTGGGAATTTCTGGGGACTTCCCCAGAGCCCATGTCTTTGGCTGTCACTGCCCAAAGTGCCCCCTTGGAGGTATGGTGGTTGGTCACCCTAAACAACTTGGACAACACTTTCGAATCCCTGTGGGCTGCCAGCACAGCTATGGCATCTCCCAGGGCAGGGTCAGAAGCTGAGAGCCTCTCAGCAGGTCTGGTCTTTCCTCTCAGAATGGGGCACCCCCTTACCGGGATGAGGAATGGTGAATTCACCTGGGACATTTAGATGGAATTGAGATGCCAGTTCTTGTTCCCACCCTCTCCCTGGAGACCTGTTCTCTGGGAGAGTCGGGGAGCCAGGAAGATGCCTGCAGGCCCTTGGTGCGGCACTAGGCTCGGGGCAGAGTAGGTGAGACCTCACATCTTCCTGGGGCTGTGCCCTGCCCAGTTGTCAGCCAGCAAACAGCGCTGAGTTGCTACCAAACATGAACTCGGCTGGTGTCAGGGGCAGGTGGCAGCAGATCCTGTTACAGGCCCTGGGCCTCTGGGCCCCAGCCTGACCCCAGCCCGGTGTCTCCTTTCAGGCTCTAAGGTCAACACACCAGGGTGGGGGGACATGAGCCAACCCACCCCAGCCACGGTCCTCCCCCACAGAGAGCCATGCCTTCTCCCACCTTCTAGAGAGATCAGCCGTGCCACCTGCTCCCCACCCAGAAGGGTCCTCTACTCATCTTGGAGGTGCTACTGTTTGCTGTCTGTCCCCTCCTTGGTTTTTCAAATTCATCACTGCAGAATCCTCGCAAGAGCCCCACGAGGAAGGACTGTTTCATTGCTTGGTTTACAGATGAGGAAACCACAGCTCAGAGAAAGTTGGCCACTTGTCCGTGGTCACAGCACTTTTAGTGGCAGAGCTGGGATTCCACCTGGCCAGGGCTTCTGGCCACCAAGCCCTGGGCCTTTCCTCTCTACAGATACAGAAGAGGCTACTGCAGACCTCCCAAACTGAGAATGAAACACACACACACCAGCCTGCAGACACATCTGGATTTTCCCAAACACCCACATACTTCTTGAGATCAGGGGTTTTCAAACTCGTTTTCAGCAGTTGAGCCCTTTTTTCAAACAAAATCCCATGTGGAAGCTTGCTATAGAAAACTGAATGTGTGGAAGCCACTCGGCCCTGACGCTCTCGGGGAGGCCTCGCCCTCTTCCTGTGTTGCTCCCCCCTGGGCAGCGCTCACAGGGCTCAGACCCTCCATTTTTGGTGCTTAATTTTGGTGTCTGGCGGCCCGTTGGCTGGCCTGCCTTCCCTCCTCCCTGTGGGCCCTGTTCCATTGTGAGCTGTAGGCCTGTGGGTCGTGTGGGCAGAATAGCTAGGCCTGGTGCCCTGCTGGCCAGCCTGGCCACTACCCTTGGTCCCAGGCAGCCCTGAGTCAGCACCGCTCCCATCTGGCGAGAGCGGAAGACCCTGCCTGAAGCTCCACCCCACCCGCAGCCACCCTGTCCTCCCCTGGCCTCTGCACGCATCAGCCATGTGTGTGGTTCCTTGCTACAGCTTTGCCCAGGGCTGGCAGAGGCACTGTGAGGACAGCCTCTTTTTCCCCCGCCCCCTGGCTGCAAGATCTCCAGCCAGCGCCTCTGGAGAGGGAGAGGCTTTTCCTAGGGCTTCCTGAGCGCCATCTTTCACTCCCGCCTAATTGGCTGTGTTCCAAGCTCTCTGAGGACTTCATGAAACCAGGCGTGTGCATCTTCCCCAGCACGTCTCCATAGCAACAGAGGGCCTAACTCTGGGGAGCTTGGTGAGGAGGAAAATGTTCCAGCTAAAAATGTACATGGCCGTCAGTGGGCGGGCATTGGAAAGGGGACTCCAGGCACATAGAAGGCAGCTCCCCACCCCCACTGCAGCCCCCACCTGTCCAGGGAGTCAGTGGTGAGCTTTACCTTCTGTCTTGGAACAAGAGAAGGGCCCCTGTGCTGTCATCTCAGGCTGCTCTCAGGGCCGAAGCAGGGATCAGTGGGACAGTGTGAAGCAACCTTCCTGGGACCTGCGGCTGAAAGGGGGCCCTCCCACCTCCCTCCACTCACTACCCTGTCCCCCTACCCACTTCCGGGCATGGGTAGAAGAGGATGTAGTGGGGACAGGGTGCCAGTTTCACTTCCCAGCCTCTTTTGACAATTCCTGTTACTTCCTCTATCTCTTTAGTAACAGGGTTGTTTGAGCCAAACAGCAGGGCCAAGCTCCCCTGCAACTGACCCAGAACCTCCAGGCCTTTCATCTTTCAGCCATTCCAGCCCATTCACCCAGTGCTCCATTCAGCCAGCACCCAGTCCCGGGCCATCTGACTCTCCTCCCTGGGGATCCACCACATGCACACACACACACGCACACACACTAAAGCTTTTCCTCCCAGTGGCAGTGACAAAGCCCCATAATGTGTCATCCTCCGTCTCTCTGCGTCCCTGGGGTGAAGGCAGCTCTGGGCAGCAGGAAGGACTGAGAAGCATGGTCCCACTGAGTGAGAACACACTCCGGCCAGACGCTTCTCAGAGCCTTACGCTTCCTGACTCCTTTCAACCTCACCCCGCCCTTAAGAGACATGCTGTGATTTTCCCACTTAAAGATGAGGAAACAGGGCCAGAGAGCTGGGATTTGCCCAGGATCCTCCAGACAGGGTGACTTAAAAGCCGGTTCCTTGGGACCTCCTGCAGTTGGTTTCCCAGGAGGCTGGGGTTAAAGCAGGGCTTGAGCAGTGCCAGGTAGGATTTGCATGGATAAAGTCACAGCCACTCAACAGTGCCCAAGCCAGAGATTCAGGGAGCCTCTCGAGCTGATGGCTGCTGCCACCTGTGCACCTGTGCTTGGCCCCATTGCCAAGATGCCTGTGCCCTGGGATGCCCCTACTCACCCTTCCCTGTGCTTGGTCTGCAGGGTCTGATGCTGAGTCGGCTGGGCCACAAGAGCCTGGCCCAGAAGGTGCTTCGAGATGCTGTGGAAAGGCAGAGCACATGCCATGAGGCGTGGCAGGGCCTGGGCGAGGTGCTGCAGGCCCAGGGCCAGAACGAGGCCGCCGTTGACTGCTTCCTCACCGCCCTGGAGCTGGAGGCCAGCAGCCCTGTGCTGCCCTTCTCCATCATCCCCAGAGAGCTCTGACGACACTGCAGCTGTAGGGAGGGAGGGGCCAGCCAGAGGCAGCGGTAGTTGGGAGTCTGGGTCAGGGTGGGGCGATGGTGGCATCAGGTGTGGGGCCTCAGGGAAATGCATCTTTAGTGAATGCCTCCACAGCTGCAGCCCTCCTTCTCTTGGCTAGGCCAAGAGGGTCTTCCTGGATTTCTTCCTTAGTGCCTTGGGAAAGTCTGACTTGAACCCTAAGTGCCTTTGCAGAGTTTTTTGGCGACCAGACTTGCTCCCCAAGAGCTGGGGCTGGGGGAGCCTCACAGCTGTTCTTCATTCTCACTCATGCCTCTGGCTTGGGTTTGGGGTTCTCACTCCCCAGTCTCAGCACAGGTTCCTGGATCCCTCTCAGGTCTTGCCCAGGGCAGTCACATCTTGAAGACACTGCAGGCGAGTGGGAAGACAATGGGATTTCTGGGTTCACTTCCCAGACGGAGTTAGTACATTATGCCCACGTTGCCCCTCTGCTCCCTGAGGCCAGCTGGGCCCCACCATGCTCTTTCCCTCTGCTACCAAATCCCTTTGGGGCCTCTGGTGTCTGGCCAGGGTACTGAGCACTGGCCCTAACGCTTCCATTTGCACCCACCCCATCTCCCTGGAAATGTGCCCCAGCCCAAGCAGCCTCCAGATGCTTTAGATCCTATGGTTGCTAGACCCAGTTTTTTCTAATACCCTGAGTCAACACGTTACTCCTGCAGGCCTTACGCTACAATGCAGGTCCCTTGAGGGCCAATAACATGGAGGTGGGCAATTTCTAGGACTGTCCCCAGTACATCTCATCACCCATAGTCCCTCTTTTGCCTCAGGCCTTCCTGGGTGATCCAAGCCTCACGCTGGCCTTTTGGGTTCCCCTGCCTGAGGGCCTACAGGGGCAGTGGTTAGAGACCTGAGGAGGGGACAGAGCCCAGCCCCTCTCCTGTGGCTGAGTATGCCTCGGTGTCCATGACACCTGTCTTCGGGGCCTGGGGGCTGTGGACATATGTCCTCCCTGCTGCCCAACGCTCCTGGAACTCTTCCCTAAGGAGCCAGTCCCCCAGAGGCCTATCAGGGAATCCTTTTGCATCTGCACTTTGGGTTTTAGTTTCAAAGCTCCATCAGGTAGAGCTCACATTTCAGGATGTGTGGAAAGCTTGGGTGAGGGCTGCCCTGGTTCGTCATCGCTCCGCCTTCCTTGGAGGGAGAGAGCTGTTGGAGACCACCCATCCATGCACACCAGCTCAGCACTGCATGTCCTGAGGTGACTCCCAAGACCCCTGCACCAGGCCAAGGGGCACCACAGAGGACGCCGGATCCTTTGCCTCTTCCTGGTTGAAGGATCTCTCGATATGTGTGTGTGTGTATATAAATATAGTTTTATATATATATATAAAATAGAGATCTATTTTTTTCTGGAATTATGTTAGAAAAGTAAAGAAAAAGCAAAATGCTGTTGATTTTTCTCAGGGTGCCCAAAAAGGTTGTAGTCAATTTTTGGTACTAGGAAAGGCACCAAATGCTTTTCCTGACTTAAGTATTTCCTTGTTGGAAGCCACAGAGGGCCAGGCCAAGTTGCTGCCGGTGACTTTGCAGATTGAATAAAGAGACCCTCAAAGGGGAAGCAGGCTTGTCTGAAGCAGCATGTTTATTCACTGGGCACTTAGCTCCAGCATCTGCCTTGAGCCAGGCCCTAGAGAGGAGGGGGTGTTGCAGGAGGAGGGAGGCCAGAGAACTCATCGAAGCCAAGACCTGGGCCCAGCTGGGGAGGGGTGTAGAGAAGCAAGAAGGGGAGGGAGGATCCTCTGGGAAAACATGGATTTGAGCTGGTGAGAGCGTTGCCAGGTGAGGCTAGGCTAAAGCCTGGAGGGAGTAGGAGGAGGCAAGAGCAGTCCAGGCAGAGCTGATCCTGGCCTCTGACCTGTCCTTCAGGACGCCCCGAAGACCCTGCTGCCTCTGGGCATCGCTGGGAGAGGCCAAGGCAGGACTCAGAACAGAGACCCCCTTGGACATTGCTGTTGGGCCATCTCCGCTACAGAGAAGAAGCCTAGGAGAGAGGGCATGGGAGGGATCCGGGCCTTGTTCAGATTGGCCACGTCTGCTGAGAAGTCCATACCAGTAGACCCCTAGTAATATATACCAATGTACTGTGGATATTATAACCTGCATTGAAACAATTCTAAAGAATGCTGCACATTTACACAGAAGCTCTGTTGTCTTCATGTACCCCAGGGGATCACCATGGCACCCCCAAGGCTGCAGCCACCTCCAGACAGCTGTCCTGAGGCTTCCCCTCAAACCCTGGGCTGTTGTCGACCATCTGGACTCTCCTCTTGCCATGCCTCCCGGTGATCTGGCCTCCTCCAATGCCCACCCTCCCTGCCTCTGCCATTGCTGTCCTCAAAAGGAAGGGCTTTGTTTGCAGCCTTTGATTGCGCAGCTTCTCTTATTTACAAACTGTAGCCTTATTTACAAACTTGAGTGATTGAACACTTGCTATCAAATTACTTGCCATGTATCCCAACCCCCAGCTTGTGACCTCCTTGGGTGAGAAGTACAGGCCACCTTAGGTGGCAGGGGGTGTCTGCCAGCCTGGGGCAGGCTTAGAAACTCATCCTGCAGGGAGAATGGAGAGAATGTGGAAGGAGGGAAGGCTCGCCTTCTGATGGGAACAGGGTTTCCCAGGCTGATCTTAAATTGGTCAATGTTGGAGAGTCACGCAGCAGTGGAGACCTGCTGAGGGCCCCAGGCACGGCCTTAGCCCAGGTGCCATGTGTAAGCCCTGCTCTCACACAGGAACCCTCACCAGAGAGTGAGGGAGTCGGATCCTGTGTCTAAACCCGTCATGCTGGGACCAGGGTTAGAGTCTGGGGACAGACCTCAGACTGCCTGTCACCCCCTCTGACCTCCACCTGCACACCACTTTCCGGGACACAGCTCCCAGTTGGCACTTCCATATTAATAGTGTTTCCCTGCAAGCACAAATATGAACGGCATTTCAGCCGCCACCACCCAGACTCCTTTCTGGTACCAAAGTGCTCATTGTTGTACTCCCATCCCCCACCCAGCACTCAGATGCCGTCACTGTGCAAATATTTCTTGGGCTTGGGAAGCCTCTGACTGAACGAACCTCCCCATCTGTTTGGCCTTTGATGACAGCCCACAGGCAGGGAGCCTCATGCCCAAGTGGCCTGTGGGACCGACCCATGAGGTACTGATCCGGAGGATCCTGCAAGGTCAGGGAGGTCCTGACTGGAAAGCATCCTACCCTCCCCTCCCAGAAACGTCTTAGAATTTTCATCAAGCTCTTTCAGTTGCAAACAGAGACCCACTGAAGATAACTCAAGAGACAAGAGGGAGCTCCCTGGAGCCGTAGGGCAGGAACGGCAGTGCCCAGGCCTGGGGCCAAAGCAGCCACATGCCATGAAGGAGGCGGCAGGGTGACACTGCAGTCACCAGCCTGAGCTGGAAGGTGCTGCTCTACCACTATAGGCTGTGTGGCCTTGACCAAGTTTCCGTTTTTTTGGTTTTTCTTTTGAGATGGAGTCTCCCCCTGCCTCCAGGCTGGAGTGCAGTAGCATGATCTTGGCTCACTACAACCTTTACCTCCTGGGTTCAAGCAATTCTCCTGCCTCAGCCTCCTGAGTAGCTGGGACTACAGGTGCATAGCAACATGCCTGGATAATTTTTTTTTTTTTTTTTAATTTTAGTAGAACCAGGGTTTCACCATGTGGGCCAGGTCTCAATCTCCTGACCTCGTGGTCTGCCCTCCTTGGCCTCCCAAAGTGCTGGGATTACAAGTGTGAGCCACCCTGCCTGGGTGAGCAAGTTTCTTCATCTCTCTTTAGCCATTTCTTCATCTGTACAATAAGATTAACAGTGGAATAGTGCCTGCTTTGTGGATTCTGATTAAGGGATCCTAGAACAGTGCCTGGCCCATAGTAATTGCTCAATACACATAGGCAATTATCTTCTCCGCCTTTGCCTGCTACTGACTGTTCACGGAGAGGTGCTGCTCCCATAGAACTATATTCAGCACTGCCCAGGCCC